ATCTAATGTCACAGCAATTGGCTGGATCAAGAGGACATGCTATGGCCATTGAACCTGAGCTACATCATACATTTGAGTCTGAGCCTTATCACTAACAAGTTTCAGATGATGTGTTGTGGATTTTGCTTACATTCTGAAGGAGTTTCTCTTGGAAGTTTTGTCCTCATATCAATATTTGTGTGTTAAGAACAATATTTTGAGGTGCTCTCAAATCTGAATGGAGATATGGGACTAATTAAGCATTTTTCAGCATTGCTCTGTCGGTTAGTGGTGTGAAAAACCATATCCCTACCTGACATAGCTTGCCGGCAAAAGCTCTAAAGTAGACACAGTTATAGAGGCAAAAAAAGTCCAATTAAACTAAATCAAGGAAATTAAATGTCCATAAGTAAAGATTTTAGTAAAGCTTTTGATACTGTCTTGCATGACCTTCTCATAAACAAACTAGGGAAATGCAACCTAGATGGATTTAAGGTTGGTGTATAACTAGTTATCAGTGGTTCACAGTCATGCTGGAAGGGCATAACGAGTGGGGTCCTGCAGGGATCAGTTCTGGGTCCGATTCTGTTCAATATCTTCATCAATTATTTAGATAATGGCACAGAGTACACTTATAAAGTTTGCAGACGATACCAAGCAAGTGCTCTGGAGGATAGGATTATAATTCGAAATGATTTGAAGTAAATAGGATAAAATTCAATAAGGACAAATGCAAAGTACTCTACTTAGGAAGGAACAATCAGTTGCACACATACAAAATGGGAAATGACTGCCTAGGAAGGAGTACGGCGGAAAGGGATCTGGGGGGGTCATAGTGGACCACAAGCTAAATATGAGTCAACAGTGTTGCAAAAAAAGCTAACATAATTCTGGGATGTATTAGCAGGAGTGTTGTAAGCAAGACACGAGAAGCGGACCTGAGCGGCATCTGCCTGCTTGCTCCACATGTCTGCTGGCCCCTCCCTGCAGCCCCGGGGCGGGGTGGGGCTGTGTCTCCGTGCGCTGCCGCCACCCCTAGTGCCCCTGTGGCCAATGGGAAGCTGCGGGGGTGGTGCCTGGGGGGGGAAGTGCCTGGGGGCCCCCCGGCCCACCCAACCTTGGAGCCCCAGGTAAGCGCCACACCCCCGACTCCCTCCCAGAGCCTGCATCCCCACCGCCTTCCTGCCCCCAAACTCCCTCCCAGAGCCTGCACCCCTGCCCCCTTCTCCCTCCCAGAGCCTGCAACCCCACCCCCTCCTCTTGCACCCCCACTCCATGCCCCAGACCAGAGCCTGCACCCAAACTCCATCCCAGAACCTGCACCTGACCCCCTCCCCCACCCAAACTCCCTCCCAGAGCCCAACCTCTCACCCCTTCTGCACCCAAACTCCCTCCCAGAGCCTTAGGCAGGTGGGGGGGCAGAGTTCTGGGTGGCATGAGTGACATTATTGGCCCGCTGGGAGGATCTGAGGACTGGCACTGGCCCTAAGGTAAATTAAGTTTAAGATCCCTAGTCTAGATAACTTAGTCCTGCCATGAGCGCAGGGGACTGGACTAGATGACCTCTCAAGGTCCCTTCCAGTCCTATGATTCTGCAAAGTATATTAAAGTACAGTTAAGGTTGCCTAGTGCTGCCTCATGCCCTTCCAGCAGGTGGAGAGTGGTGAAAGTTAAAACATCTGAAAACCAGCAAATGAAGAACTACACACCACACCTGCAAAAGGAAGCTTAACTTTGCCCCTATTCCCTAACCTTGAAGCTAGCAAACATCACTGGGAATAAGTCAGTAAGGGTGGTGCAAAGGTTTACCAACTAACCAGGGAAGTGGCAAATTTTCCATCTCTTGAAGTCTTCAACTCAATATTGGATGTCTTTCTGGAAGATATTTTCATCAAAACACAAGGTATTCAGCTCACTACAATGGTAACTGGATGAAACTGTATGGCTTGTATTATACAGAAGGTCAGACTAGACGACCTAATAGTATCTCCTGGCCTTAAAATGTACTGATCAATGATCAATAGGAGGGAAGACTAAGAACATGCCATTGTTCGTGTTGTGTTCAACAGATTTGAATACAACCACTTATCTCCATGCACTTCAGCTATACGCACTGTGTCAGCTGTAGCTTTACATGAACAGTGGAGGGAATTGTTGGAGCAGCTTGGCAGAGCTGGGACTGTGATAAGAAGAGAGGTGCATGTGAATCTTGAAGGAACAGGTATTCCTCACGTCAGTGCTAAGTGTTGTAGGTTGTGTCAGTGAAGGTGCACAAGGGTGTGTTCTTGCCACGAGTGTTGTCAGCATTCTGGTGGCATATGTGCTAATGGTCTCCAATGCTCAGTGAGGGTAAGTGAAGGAATCCGGAGTGCAAGGGTAAAGGGGTGGTGACATTATGAAAGTCTAAGCCCTGGTCTACACTACGAGTTTAGGACGAATTTAGCAGCGTTAAATCGATTTAACCCTGCACCCGTCCACACGATGAAGCCATTTTTGTCGACTTAAAGGGGTCTTAAAATCGCTTTCTGTACTGCTCCCTGACAAGGGGATTAGTGCTGAAATCGACATCGCTGGGTCAAATTTGCGGGTAGTGTGGATGCAATTCGACGGTATTGGCCTCCAGGAGCTATCCCAGAGTGCTCCATTGTGACTGCTCTGGACAGCACTCTCAACTCAGATGCACTGGCCAGGTAGACAGGAAAAGCCCTGCGAACTTTTGAATTTTATTTCCTGTTTGGCCAGCGTGGCAAGCTGATCAGCAGAGGTGACCATGCAGAGCTCATCAGCAGAGGCGACTATGGAGTCCAAGAATCGCAAAAGAGCTCCAGCATGGACCTAACGGGAGGTACTGGATCTGATCGCTGTACGGGGAGACGAATCCATGCTATCAGAACTCCGTTCCAAAAGACGAAATGCCAAAATATTTGAAAGTCTCCAAGGGCATGAAGGACAGAAGCTATAACAGGGACGCGCAGCAGTGCTGCATGAAACTTAAGGAGCTCATGTAAGCCTACCAAAAAACCAAAGTGGCAAACGGCCACTTCAGGTCAGACCCCCAGACATGCCGCTTCTATCATGAGCTGTAGGCAATTCTAAGGGGTGCCCCTACAACTACCCCACCCCTGTACGTGGACTCCTGCAAGGGAGTCTCATGCAACAGGGATGAGGATTTTGGGGATGAGGAAGATAGCGCACAGCAGGCAAACTGTTTATCACCCTGGATACATTACCCTCCCAACCCAGGCTCTCGGACCTTGAAGGCGGAGAAAGCCCCTTTGGTGAGTGTACCTTTGTAAATATAATACAAAGTTTAAAAGTAAGAATGTTTAATGATTAATTTGCCCTGAAGACTTAGGATGTATTCGCGGCCAGTAAAGCTACTGGAATGCAGTCAAGCAACATCCGTTCTTTATCTCTCCTCAGGAGAGTGATATCCTCAGGAGAGTGTTATCATTCATGGTCACCTGGTTGAAATAGGGGAATTTTATTAAGGGGACATTCAGAGGTGGCCGTTCCTGCTGGGCTGTGTGCCTGTGGCTGAAAAGAAATCATATGGTTGTATGTATAGGGGATAGCTTAGTGGTTTGAGCATTGGCCTGCTAAACCCAGGGTTGTAAGCTCAATTCTTGAGGGGGCCATTTAGGGACCTGGGGCAAAAATCTGTCTGGGGATTGGTCCTACTTTGAGCAGGGGGTTGGACTAGATGACCTCCTGAGGTCCCTTCCAACCCGGATATTCTATGATCATCCCCACTGTTAGCCACGCGGTGGGGGGAGAGGTGAAGCAATCATCCCAGAGAATTGGGTGTGAGGGGGGGATTAGTTGAGTTTGTGCTGCACGTCAACCCGAAAATGTTAGCCCCTCCTTTTAAATGGTCAACCCAACTCTCCTTTTTTTTCCTCCTGCAGCTGCAAATGTTTCAGCGCTACCACTATCAACTCCATCCCAGAGGCTAGCGCAGATAAGAAGGCGAAAAAAACGCACTTGCGATTAAATGTTCTCTGAGCTCATGCAGTCCTCCCGCACTGAAAGAGCCCAGCAGAATGCATGGAGGCAAACAATGTCAGAGTCCAGGAAAGCACAAAATGAACGCGAGGACAGGAGGGATGCGCAAGATGAGAGGTGGTGGGATCAAGAGGAGAGGTGGCAGCAGCGTGATGAGAGGAAGCAGGAGGCAATGCTGAGGCTACTGGAGGATCAAACTGATATGCTCCGGCGTATGGTTGAGGTGCAGGAAAGGCAGCAGGAGCACAGTCCGCCGCTGCAGCCCTTGTGTAACCAACCGCCCTCCTCCCCAAGTTCCATAGCCTCCTCACCCAGATGCCCAAGAATGCAGGGGGGGTGGGGGGGAAAGAGGGCGGCTCTGGGCACCCAACCACTCCACCCCAGAGGACTGCCCAAGCAACAGAAGGCTGGCATTCAATAAGTTTTGAAGTGCAGTGTGGCCTTGTCCTTCCCTCCTCCATCACCCCACCCGGGCTACCTTGGCAGTTATCCCCCTATTTCTGTGACTAATAAATAAAGAATGCATGAATTTGAAACAACAATGACTTCATGTCGAGTTTCATGACTGGCCAGGCTACGGTGTGAAAGTCCTGTTTGTTTCTCCTTGATGAAAACCCACCCCCTTGGTTCACTCTACATCCCTGTAAGCCAACTGCCCTCCCCTCCCCCCTTCGATCACCGCTTGCAGAGGCTATTACCAGGGCCAAGTTTTGCCTTAGCAAAGAGAAGGTGTTGGACTTTGTGTTATCCTGCTCCTGTGCTCTGTTCCCAAAGTGTTCTGTAGCAGGGCAGGGCAAAGTGCTAGTATATGTGTCATTGGCCTGTTGGAGTGTTGCTGAAATAGGGCACAATTTGAGGTTGCATTGAGGGTGTTGTGAACCTTAACTCTTCTTTCCCATTCTAATAACCAAGGAGACAGGAATCCTTACCCAGAGAGGTCACGTTCTCATAGTTCTCCTGCATGACGTCTCTGTAGAGGGCTCTCTGAGCGGGGTCCAGCAGAGCCCACTCTTCTTCGCTGAAATACACAGCCACCTCCTCGAAGGCCATTGGCCCCTGAAAGAACAAAAGCCCCTTACTCAGTACCTGCTGCCTACTGACAACCCCACTACTCACAGGGGAGGAGGACCAATCACTTGGAAGCTGTGGGAGGCAGACAGCATAGTTCCACCCACACCCCATCACATGACAGCAGCCAGAAAGCATCAAAGGGAAGGGAGAAAAAGAGCACCCCCACTCCTCCCAGCAGAGAGAGAGGGAAGGAGTCTTCACATTCACCACCCACCTACTAGCCAGAGGCTAATACAGGAGATGGAGCCCCCAGCAGGGTCCAGGGACAACTCCCTGGTGCGAATTGCAACACCCTCCTCATTGCCAGCAGCTGGATAGGAGGGGATGGGGTATCTTCCCTAGGTCTCACTGGTGGGTGCCCCTTTATCTCTCACAGCAGCCTCTGGCTAGTAGGTTCAGGCTCCAGTATTGAAGTCTGGTAAGTTTCCCTAACCCAGTCCGGGGTGTGTGTGTGTGTGGGGGGGGGGATGGGGGGGGTTTCCTGCTTGACTAATTAGGGAATTCCCACCCACAAACCACAGGGATCTGTTGCTGAGATCTAGGCATCACAGTAAACAAATCTCAGCAGATTTATCACGTCCTGGCCCCGTCCCTTTCTCCACGCTGTGTATTTCCTGACCCCTCCCACTTCCAGACCAGCCCTCTCAGAAGTGCCCACCTCCTCTGTATTTACTGCCCTTCTCCCTCCAAAGGGAACCCACCAGCAACTCCCTGATAATCCCTACCTCAAATAGCTCCACTGTAGCCATTTCCTTTCCCTGGTCCCTGGAAGGACAGAATGAGCTGGAGCAAAACATGGATGTTACGCTGCAGCCTGTTAGGGCAAAAAGGGCAATTGGGGACATGTCAGAACAGGAAATCATTTCACAGCACAATTCCCCCCCAGGATCTTTCCCTGCACACTGATGTTCTAGACTATCATGCAAATAGAACAATTCAAAACACAGTAATGGAGGAGCAGGGGCTTTATCTACCCAGACGTCTGTTAGAAAAGGAATTCAGCCAAATACAAAGTGTCCAATAAGTTCTTGGAATGTACAGGGGCCACCTGTTTTCTTTCAGAGGATGGAAGCAGTAACTGGAGGATGAAGGAATGAGTTAGGAAACTGAAGGCGGAAAGCAATGTGGGCAAAAGTGATGAGAAAATGATCGATGTCACGGTTCTATGAGAAGGAAGGCATGAGAGGAGCAGAATAAGGACAATGGCCGTCCAAAAGGCAGACTTCAACCAACGCGGAGAACTGGTAGGTGAGGTCCCATGGGAATAAAATCTCAGAGGGAGAAAAGAGTTCAGGAGAGCTGGCTGGCAGTTCCTCGGAGACAATATTAAAGGAGCAGCAGCAAAGGATCACAATGTGAAGGAAAGACAGAAAGAAGAGTAAGTGGCCAATATGGCTCTACCATAAACTCTTTCATGACCAGAAAATAAAAAGGAATCCTATAAAAAGTGGCATCATGGACAAATATCCATGGATTATTACAAAAGAATTGCACAAGCATGTGGGGACAAAATCGGAAAGATTAACTCACAAAATGAAGTAACTCACCTTGAAAGTGACACTAAAAAGTCAATAAGATAAGGGTTCTATAAATTATATTAGGAGACCGGGGAAGGAAAGTGTAGGTCCTCTACTTACCAGAGAAGAAGAAGATGACATCAACAAGACAAAGGTGTTTAATGCCTTTTTACATTCACTAAAAAAAATGTAATTGTGACCAGATACTTAATTATTCTTAACCAAGACGGGGAAGGAACAGAAACCACAATGGGGAAATAAGAAGTTGAAAAAATATTTACATAAGTTAAATGTATTAAAGTCAGCAGGGCCTGATGCAATTCATCCTGGGGTACCTGAGGAATTAGATGAAGCAATCTTGGAATAGTTAACAATGATCTTTGACAACTCCGGGAGGATGGTGAGGTGCCACAAGACTGGAGAAGGGCCAACATAAAACCTGTCTTTAAAAAGGGGAGCAACATAGACCTGGGAAATAAAGACCAGTCAAGCCTAATTTAGATACCCAGAAAGAAAAATGTATTAAACAACCAATGTATAAGCACCTAGAGGATAGTAAAGTGATAAGTTATAGCCAGCATAGATTATCGAATACAAATCATGCCAAACCAATCGAATTTCTGGCTTTAACAGAGGTACTGGCCTTATGGATTCAGGGGGCCACTGTAGACATGACATATCTTGATTTTAGTAAGGCTTTTGACAGAAGACCCCATGACATTCTCATCAGCAAACTAGGAAAATGTGGTGTACTTAGAAGTCTGTTCTCAAAGAGTAATTACTAATGGCTCGCTGACAAACAGGGAGGATGTATCTAATGCAGTCCCATGGGAACCAATCCTCGATCTGCTACTACTCAATATTTTCATTAATGACTTGGATAATGGAGTGGAGAGTGTGCTTATTAAATTTACAGATGACACCAAGCTGGGAAGAGTTGTAAACACGTTGGAGAACAGGATTAGAATTCAAAATGACCTTTATAAATAAGAGTTCATCTGAATGAACAAAATGAAATTCAATAAAGACAAGTGCAAAGTACTACACTTAAGGAAGGAAAACCAAATGTTCAACTACGAACTGGGGACTAACTGGCTAGGGGGCAGTACTACTCAAAAGGATCTGGAGGTTATAGTGGATCATAAATTGAATCTGAGCCAGCCATATGACTCAGTTGTGACAAAGGCTAGTTCAGTACTGGAAAAGGTTACCAAGGGACATTGTGGAATCGCCACCTGTAGCGGGGTAGACACCTGCTCCTGCCCTGGAGGGCTTGAAACCAGCCCTGAAAGAGGGCTGCAGGGGTTAAAAGCAGCCCTGCAGAGGGCTGCAGCTCTAAAAGCTGGGCTGATTGGGGAAGTGGCTGCAGCTGGGCCATGCCCCAATCAGGCCACAGCTGGCCTGTATATAAAGGCTGGGAGCCAGCCACTCACAGTCTCTCTCTGTGTTCAGAGGGAGACAGGCCTGGCTGCAGGGAGCTAGAGACAGGGTACCTGAGTGGAGCAGGGCTGGGGAAAGGCAGAGGAGCTGGGGAGCTCCAGCCTGGAAAGCCCCAGGCTGTGGCCTAACATTGGGCTAAAAGGTACTGGCGGTTGCAGAGGGCAGCCCAGGGGTAGGCCAAGGCAGCAGGTCCAAACCCAACCTTGCCAGTGATGAGTAGGCTGATACTGCAGTCTGCCCCAGGGTGTGGGGCTAGATGGAGACTGGCAGTAGCCTTATACTGAGGTGAGGTGGGAATAGTGGGTGGGGGTTCCTTGGGGAGGGGAGACCCTAAGACTGAGGGGTTCCTGCCAGGGGGCAGCACCCAGAGAAAGGGGCACTGGGGTCCTGGGAGGGGCACGGGGCCAGAGGACAGCGGCTCACCGGCTTGCAGAGGGCGCTCTGGAGCTGGAATGAGCTAATTCCTGGAAGTCACCAGCAGGAGGCACCGCAGGGGTGAGTCCACACTGCTACACCACCATTCAAGATTTTTAAGGACAGGTTGGACAAACACCTCAGTGTTGGGGGCTAGACTAGATGACCTCATGGTTCATTCCGGCCCTACAGTTCTCTGATTCTATTCTGAGGAAATGTTGGTCATTTTATTATAGCACTGACCAGCCCATCCCACCAGCACTAAACAGCCGAGACATTTTGAAACACTCCCAGTAACAAAGTCTGGGAACCAAATACAAGACAAGAGCAGAGCAAAAGGAGTGACTCTGGGGGAAATACCCTGACATTGACCCTGGGGCAGCACACTCCCAAAGCCGGGGGCACAGCCAGAGTCAGGAATTGGCTTTTCCTCTCCCTGCACTTCACCTTGTTCACTGGAAAGTGAATCTGCCCAGGGATGGTGCAGTAAGTGTGTGTGGGCAAGTTAGAGATCTGGGAATCTCTCTCCCCAATTATTTCTCCCACTGCCCCATCAATCTCTCTCTCTCTCTCTCCTTTTTCTGCGCGTGTTTCCCATCTCCTGTCCCGCTCCCTCTGGCGGACAGACAGCCATTCTTGGGTGTTCACTCTCCTATGGCTGGATCGGCTCCTGCAATTGCTAAGGGGAGGAGAGATGTAGGGTGAGGAGGGGCTGTTCGTGCAGAGTCACTTTCATGCCCATCTCCAGCACATTCCCTGAGGTCTCTATCAATCACCTGGAGTCTCTGGCTCAGATGTTGGTGTGGGCAGAACGTAGGGCTGGCCCATGGAGCTAATTACAACTGGAGAAAGTCCTCACCTTGCCTGGGCACAAAGGAAGCTTCACTCCCAAGCCCAGACCCCACCGGGGGAGCAGCAGCTGCTCAGTCTGGGCTCCCAGATCACAATGCAAGCAGCAGCGTCTGACCCAGGAAGCTCAACCCCAATATCCTAAGAGAGACAGTCAGACAGAGACTAAGGGCTTCCTGCCACCCTCTAGCAACAACCGAAACTCCCTCCCCACAGGGACATGTCCTGATTTTATTTGCTCCCATGTTAATCTGGAGTCACTCCATGTTCTTCCTTGAAGTGTCTCTTGATTAACACTGGTCTCAGTGAGACCAGAAACATGGCTCAGGAGGGATGAGGCCAGACTCCTTTCCTCCTCCCTCATTCCCTCCCCTTCTTCTGAGGATTCACAGCAACAGTTTTCTCTCCAAAACCTGAAGTTTCTCCAGTTTTGAAAATGGGGAGAGAAGCAAAGTTTGTTGTGATTTCATATCAGTATTTGGTAAATGGATAGGAAGTTTTCAGCAGCCCCTGCCAGCCATTCACACAGGTCGGGGGGAGCCCTGGGATGGAGAATGACTATGGCAGAGGTGGGCAAACTACGGCCTGGGGGCCGGATCCGGCCCCTCAGGGCTTTGGATCTGGCCCGTGGGATTGCCACCCCAATGGTGCCACGGGCCCTGCACTGCTCCCAAAGCGGCTGGCACCATGTCCCTATGGCCCCTGGTGGTGGTGGGCAGAGGGCTTCACGCTGCCCTCGCCTCCAGGCACCGCTCCCCGCAGCTCCCATTGGCCGGGAACCACGGCCAAAGGGAGCATCAGGGGAGGTACCTGGAGGCACGGCAAGGGCATCGTGCCCGGAGCCCTCTTAACCCCTCCCTCCCCCCAGGTCTGCAGGGATGTGGTGCTGGCTGCTTCCCGGAGCAGCACAGGGCTGCGGCAGGTAGGCACTGCTGCCACCCCCGATCCACTCCAGGTAAACAGCAACAGGCTGGAGCCCGAACCTCTCCTGCACCCCGCACTCCAACTCCCTGCCGTGAGCTCCCTGCCGCACCCTGCACTGCATCCCTGCCCTGAGCCCCCTCATACGCCCAGTGCCAGGTTTACCATGGAGCCCATGCTCAGAAGGGGCCCCGGCCTGCTCCACTTGCACTGCGTCCCAAGACCCCGCCAGCCTGCTGGCTCCCCTCCGCCCATCACTTGCTCTTCAGGCCAAGGGCTCCTCTCCACCCCCTGGTCCCACCCTCCTGCTCCTCTCTGCCCCCTGGCTGGACACAGAACACCTCTGGCTCTGGGCAGTCTCTGCTTCCCACCACCTGTGGGACCCTGTGTGATGTTATGAGTGTGATATAATATCTCATTGAAAGATGACAGGGCCAGAAAGAGTTAATTAACTCACTGACCTGACCCATGGCCAAACTTTAGAGATTTGTTAGGAAAATATCTAAATGAATAGAGCTTTGAAATGGAAGTCTGCATTGTTAGAGATCAAAGGGTAGATGTTTGCTCAGGTCTTGTGATGTAAGCAAACAAGTCTTATCTATTGCTATAGCTTTGTTTCAAAGATCAAAAAAGGAGTATTAATACTATTTCCCTCAAGTGTCTTCCTAAATACTATTATCTATGTGTCTCTTTGAAGGTTGTGGTAACCTGCATCTGAACTGTTTAATGGATAAATTACCCTGTGCTAATTGCCAGGATGTTTGGGAGAAGGAGAGTTAAGCCTATTGTTTTCTCAGGCCAAAAGGCTGCTGGAAATGTATAAGAACCTTAGGACATGATCCTTCTTCATCTCAGATCTGCTTTGGGTTTCAAGAGGGGGAAACCTTAAGCCATAAGGATTGAGATCCCCAGTGACTGGAGTCACCCTGAATATGGACATTGGACTATAACCTATGGACTATATCTAAAAGGACTTTTGGCAACTACAAGCTCATCTCTAAGTATCTGAACTTCAAGAATTGAATTCAAGTCTGTATGTATATTGATCTTTTAACGACACTTTTCTTTTTTTAATAAATTTTAGTTTAGTTAATAAGGATTGGCTATAAGTGTGTATTTTGGCCAAGATCTAAGTTATAATTGGACCTGGGTATGTGGCTGATCCTTTTGGGGTTGGAAGAACCTTTCTTTTATATGATATCTGACGTGTGTCTGGATGGAGGCCTGAGGCTGGGCACTTTAAGGGAACTGCGTTGTTTGAACTTCTGAGCAACCAGTGAGGTACTATAGAAACTGTTTTGTGCTGGCTTGGGGGTGCTGGGCAGTTGTGGTGGGGCTGTGGGCAGGGGGGCGCTGGGCAAGGGTGGTGTTGTGCAGGATGCTGTGCATTTGTTTGGGGGGGGTCAGGGGAGGTGCTGAGCATAGTGGGTCTGGGGGGTTCTGGCCATAGGAAATCGGGGAGGGGGGGCTGCGTGGCACAGCATGGGCTTGCCCCCAAGGGGAAGGTGCATACTGGCAGCACAGGAATGGGCAGACCACTGCATCTGTCAACTGCCAGTTTGTAAATAGTGCCATCGCACTGGGCTGGGCAGAGCGGGGCCACCCGTGCCAGGCCATGCCCCTGGCTGACCCCCCACACCATGCTCCATTGCCTCCATGGGGGCCCACAAATATGTTTGGCGCCGGGCCCACAAAAGGTTAATCCAGCACTGCATACCCTGTTTCCCCGAAAGTAAGACATCCCCCGAAAATAAGACCTACTTCCAGTTTTGCCTCTTGCTGTAATATAAGGCATCCCCCCGAAAATAAGACCTCCCCGATAATAAGGCCACCCCGGAATATAAGGCCCCGAAGCCCCAGGAAAAATAAGACCTCCCCTGAAAATAAGACCTAGCGCATCTTTGGGAGCAAAAATTAATATAAGACACTGACTTATTTTCGGGGAAACAGGGTATGCCCCACACCCCTCCTCTGCCCCAACCCATTGCCCTGAGTCCCTTCCTGCACATTGTACCCCCTCCCACACCCCGCACTCCCTCCCGCACCCCAACCCCCTGCCCTGACCCTGCATGCAATTTCCCCACCCAGATGTGGCCCTCTGCCAAAAAGTTTGCCCACCCCTGGACTAAGGCAACAAATTCCCTCCAAAATAAGAACTTCCTGCAACTAAACATGGGAATGTCCAAATACGAGATGCTTTTTAGCAGACATTTAATAATTACATGGAAAAAGACAATCTGACAGCTGATGTCTGTTAAGTCATTAAAGAGAAAAGGGTGGAAATCTGAAGAATTTTGGATCAATTCTCACAAATTAGAGCAGAAAGTGAAAAAATGTGAAGCATTTTATATTGATAGTCAATAGTAAGTAAAGAGGTAAAATATGAGTGAATTTCATATTTGACAAATTGAGAGAAAATGGGGAAACATCTGCAAAACTTTTCTAAATATATTCAAAAATGTCAAAAAACGAGGATATTTTATGTTAATATTTTATTATTAGTGAGACATGGAAAAAAATCTCAGGGAATATTAAATTAGAAATAGATAACTAGAGAGAAAGGAAGGCAAATTTTTAGGCTATTCTCCTGAAGAAGAGATCTGTGTGTAACTCAGAAATGTATCTTTCTCACCAACTGAAGTGGGTCTAATAAAAGATATTCCCCCACCCACCTTATCTTTCTAAATGCAAAGCAATGCACACTGGAGAGAAAAACTAGAGGTACTTATAAACTCTACGGGGTGGTAAATAAACTATCAACTGTAGCCCATATAGCTAGCTTTAGCATTTATTTCATGCAGCAGTAATGCAAGGGACCCACAGGCCTGTCTCATGTACAACACCGGCATCGGCAGTTAGCATAAGGCTTGAGATCTATGAACTCTGGCACAGATAAATGGCCTAAGGGTCACCCCTTTTCGCCCGTAAAGACACCAGCCGACCAGAGGAACATGAGCTAACACCGGCCTTCGGATAGAACATCCACGGATGTCTGACCACAGGCGTTCCATGGCAACGTATTGACACATATGACACCAACATGAGATCATTAACACACTAACCTACAGGAGCACACCCCAACATTAGTAGGGAGAGGAAATACAAATAAGGAAGAGAGGAGAAACCCCTACTGAACATGCATTACACCTAGCAACGTCAGCAGAACATATTATAGGCTACACAATCCAAGAAAGGGATCTGCATGTTGCTGTAGACAGATCAACGAAAAGCTCCACTCAATGCACAGCTGCCAGCAAAAAAGCTAACATGTTAGGATTCATAAGGAATGGGATGGAGAATAACACCAAACATTTGTATATAAATCAAGGGGGCAGCCTCTAATATCCTGGGACCACCCTGGCTACTACAGCACTGCACACAGGATATTTTATATCTATCTTTCAGAATTGGGGCAGAAATAGGTCTAAAAAGAAACATTTGAAAATGAGAGAACCACCTAGGCTCTGAAGAGAGTTTATATTAAGTGAGAGTAGTTAGACAGATTGAAGGGATTTTACATGGAAGGTCAATAAACAGACAGTAATAATTCCCTCCCACCCACCCACCCCTACACCATTCAGATGGGCAGCAGGGAGCCCTTTGGGGAGGTGCTTTAAGAGGGTACGTGAGGGGAGTACGAAGCAGGAAAACTCCCTGGCAGTGGGGAGGAGGCAGCAGCAGGGGCGGACAGGTGACTGGCAGCTGGGGGGAGCTGTGTTGGGCAGCTGGGGGTAGCAGTAGCCAGGACTGTGTAACCTTGGGCTGGACAGTCTCCACTGGGAACTTTTTCCTCCTGACCCCTTCCTCGCCTTGTTGCTGGCAGAAAATGGCCACCCCAGAGGCAGCTGTGTCTCAGGGCTCTGCAAGCTGCACCCATTAAGCCCCTTCTCATTTGGGGAATGATTCAGGACAATTTTCCAAAGAGTAAAATTTGCTGCAGGTCAAATGGTTGGGAAAATATCCCAAATCTGAGATTGTTAAATTAACAGTGGAGAATTAAAGAGAAAATGGGGCAAAATCTGAAAAGGAGACTAGAGAAAGTGTCAATAATTGCTCCATCAGCACCGACCCTCCATGGAGCTGTTGCTGCTTTTACACCTGAGAGGAGACTTCCTCTCTCTGACTTCTGCCCATGGGGCCATGGTAGGAAGTGGTGACCCAGTGAAGCTGATTTGAGGCTGATGCAAGGTAAGCAAAGCCGAACCAGCCTCCCAGGATATGGGGTTGGAAACCGGTACGGGGAGTGGGCCTTGGTTCCCCTACATCAGTGGTTCTCAACCAGGAGTATATGTACACCTGGGGGTATGCAGAGGTTTTCCAGGGGGTCCATCAACTCATCTAGATTATTGCCTAGTTTTACAACAGGCTACATCAGTGGTTCACAAACTTTTGTACTGGTGACTCCTTTCACATAAAATGCCTCTGAGTGTGACCCCTTCTTATAAATTAAAAACACTTTTTATATATTTAACACCATTATAAATGCTGGAGGCAAAGCGAAGTTTGGGGTGGAGGCTGACAGCTGCTCCCAACCCCCCCTGTAAGAACCTTGTGATCCTCAGGAGGGGTCCGGACCCCTAGTTTGAGAACCCCTGGGTTACATAAAAAGCACCAGGGAAGTCAGTACAAACTAAATTTCCATACAGACAATGACTTGTACATACGGCTCTATACACCATACACTGAAATGTAAGTACAGTGTTTACATTCTCCTTGATCGATTTTATAATTATGGGGTAAAAAGGAGAACGTCACTAGCCACGTTCAGTCAGAATGTGCTGCGACACGCTGCTATTTCGAGATCGGAAACTTGGGTATGCCAGTGAACCGCTGCCCTACACCAGCCCCTGGACTCGCCCCTTAGGCAAGAGACCCCCCCCCCCCCCCCAAATCCCTCCGATTGCCAGAGGCTGGAGTCCTGGCACTGGCCGCGGGGAGGCAGGACACGAGGCATGGCGGGAGGGGGGGGTGAGGCCATCCCTAGGCAGGAGACCCCCCATCCCTCCGATTGCCAGAGGCTGGGCGGGGCGGGGGGCTGTTGCCCAAGCCCCCCGGGAGCAGCAGGGCCAGGCCCAGAGATCTCGGGACACAAGAGTTCGCCTTAGGAGCCTGAGAGACAGGCGCTGGCCGGGGGAGGAGCGCAGGGCCAGGGGTCTCGGACGGGGGGGGGGGTGTCAGGCTGATCCCGGGACCCTTCCTTACCTGGGCTCGAGAGGGCGAAAGAGCCCCGGGGCAGGCTGGGAGTTGTAATTCCTGGGTCTTCTCAGAGCGGAAGTGACGAACCAGTTGCTCCGGCAACGCGCGCTCCCATACCGCCGGAAGCGGAAGTGGGCCATCTGCCGACGCGGCCCCTCCCGGTGCACACTGGGAAGCGTAGTTCTCTCTGTCAAACTCGGCCTTTTATTGGAGGAGGGGCCGTATGCGCTGGGCGGGAAGGATAGAGGCTCTGACTCGCAGCCCCTGGGGATCTGCTCCCGGGGGGGGACACGCGCCTGGGCGGGGCTGGACAGCGCTGGAGCCGCTGCGCTCGCGCTAGTACTGCCCGTGGGGTCAGTCCCCGATTCCTTCTCCCCGGACCCCGAGGCTTCGCTACCCCTCGGCCGGCTGTCCCGGGCGCACGGTGCAGCCGTTGAGATTCCCCCGCGCAGCTTTGAATCCTGCTGGCAGCCAGAGGCGGCCCCAGCCCCCTGGAGCCAGGGGGGTTTGTGCTGCTCAGTCCCCCTGGCCCTAGTGAGAATCCCGCCCCGGCGCTGCTCGGGGGTGGCCGATGATGAAGGGGACCGGAGGGGGGAGGGGATCCCTGAGCCCGGGGGGGGGGAAGGTCCCAGCTGCACAGTCTAGGTGCCAAGGCTACAGAGGGGCAGCCAGTGCTGAGCTCGCAGAGACTCTGGCCGTTGACACGCGGCAGGGACACTGTCTCTGTGGCAGGAGAAGGCAAGTGCGATGTGTTTGGGATGCTGATGCTGGCCAGTAGAAATGCTGGATTCAATGAGAGATGTGGCAAAGGAGAGGACGGTGAGTGGCAGCTCCACACAGGGACAGGGTATTCAGACACCCAGTTCTAGGTACCCTGGTGCATGTTAAGAGACAAAAGGCAAACAGGGACCCAGCCCCCTGCAATGTCCCTCTCCTGGGAGCAGAGCCCCTGGACACGTAGGAGCTAAGTTGGGAGTGGGATGGAGGGTCCCACAGGACATAAGCAGCTGAAGTCCCTCCAAGTTTTGGAAACTAGGCAATGCAGAGTGAAAGGGCTTTACACCCTACCCAGCTTGGCCTCGGGGGCATCATCAGCAAGTGGTGGCTGGGACTGAGGCCTTGGCTACACTTCAGAATTCACAGCCGCAGCATTGCTGTGAAGCGCGAGTGTAGTCGCGCCGCCAGCGCTGCGAGAGCTCTCTCGCAGCGCTGCAAGTACTCCACCTCTCCGAGGGGAATAGCTTGCAGTACTGCGAGCGAGCGTGCAGCGCTGCAGGCGCTGATTACACTGGCGCTTTACAGTGCTGCACTCGCTGCGCTGGGGGGGGTGTTTTCACACCCCCAAGCGCAGCAAGTTGCAGCACTGTACAGCGCCAGTGTAGCCAAGGTCTGAGCTGCATGGGCTGCAGCACCACAAAAGACAGGCTGCCTGCGATCGAGGGGCCCGGGGAATATCTCAATCCCTTTTTTGTAGATAAAATGAATGCAGCCTCCGCTCCTGGGTTTTCCCCAGGGACAGAATATTTCTTTGCAAAATAAATCTTTTAGTTGTAGGGCAGTGGTTTTCAACCTTTTCATGCACAAGGTCACTTTTTGAACTTAAGATCAACCCAGGATCTACCAAGGTCTCGCCTCGCTCACTCCATTTCCCCCTCCCTCTGTCGCTTGCTCTCCCCCACCCTCACTCACTTTCACCAGGCTGGGGCAGGGGCTTGGGGTGTGGGAGGGGGTGCAGGCTCTGGGCTGGAGCTGAGGGGTTTGGAGTGTGGGAGGGGGCTCTGGGCTGAGCCTGGGGCAGGGGGTTGGGGTGCAGGAGTGAGGGGTGTAGGCTCTGGGAGGGAGTTTGGGTGCAGGAGGGGGCTCCAGGCTGGTGCTGAGTGTTGGGGTGCAGGAGGGGGTGAGGGGGCTCTGGGGGGAGTTTGGGTGCAGGAGGGGGCTTCAGGCTGGGGCAGAGTTGTGGGGTGCAGGAGGGGGTGTGAGGTGCAGACTCCGGCTGGGAGGCGCTTACCACTGACCAATGGGAGCTGCAGAAACAGTGCTGGGGGCGGGGGCAGCACATGGAGCCAGGGCCGTCCCTAGCTAATCGGGAGCCCTACGCAGCTCCCCCACCCCCTCCCGTGGGGGGGGAGCGGGCCCCAGGCCTCCGCAAGGGTGGGGAGGGCTGGCCCCAGGCCTCCACGGGGGGGCAGGGCTGGCTTAGGGGGAAGGGGGGAACCACCCCCCAGCACTCACTAGCAGCGCGGCTGGGGCCAGGTCCCTGCACTTCCCTCTGCCAGTGAGTGCAGGCCCAGCCCTGCTGCAGTCCTCAGGAGCGGGAAGAAGTGGGGCTGGGGCGGAGCAGGATGGGGGCAGGGCTGAGGCGGAGCGAGGTGAGGCAGGGGCTGGAGTAGTACGCAGCTGCGCAGGGCACCAGGAAATTTGGTGCCCCAAGTTTCCTGGTGCCCTACGCAGCTGCGTACTTTGCATATGGGTAAGGACGCCTCTTCATGGAGCTGCCTCACCCCCCATCCCTTCCCCCAGGGGTCGCAGAGATGTGCCAGCAGCCAGGCGCTTCTCGAGCGGCATGGGACCACGGCAGGCAGGCAGGCAGCCTCTGAGCCCCACTACTCCGCTGGACCTTTAGCGGCCCAGAGATTGCGATTGACTGGCCGAGGCTCCAGGATCAACCAGTCGATCGCAATCCACGGGTTGGTGACCACTGTTATAAGGAGTAAAATTAAATGGCCACACGATGGTGCCAGAGTCTAAGAAATGAAAAGACCCAAGATACCTCAGGGTACGTCCAGACTACCCGCCAGATCGGCGGGTAGCAATCGATCTATCGGGGATCGATATATCGCATCTCGTCTAGATGCGATAAATTGATCCTCGAACGCGCTTTCCGTTGACTCCGGAACTCCACCAGGGCGAGAGGCAGAAGCGGAGTCGAAGGGGGAGCCGCGGCCATCGATCCCGTGCCATGAGGACGGGAGGTAAGTCGATCTAAGATACGTCGACTCCAGCTACGCTATTCTCTTAGCTGAAGTTGCGTATCTTAGATCGATCCCTCCCCCTAGTGTAGACCAGCCTTAGGTCCTCATTGACTCTGAAAAGGGATTTATTTAAAATCCCTTTATTTCTGTGGCTTGTAAAATATAAGGACCAAACGATTTCAATAGTTGTGACACTGGGGTTGTGGATACTGTAACCGTATCTCAGATTGAATAATGATTTTATATCTGATTCAAGGCAGCTTCCCAAAAGCAATGCCAATTGGTTCTTCCCTAAAATTGATGATACTGGGCAGCAGGTGATCTCCTTAATCTGCTGGGGAACCTCTCTGGGTCCCACTATCAGTTCTCCTCTGTTTTCCAGCACTTCAGGTGCTTCTGACTCCTTGGTGAGGTTTTCCTGCAAGGTCTGTGTGTGAATCTGTGTGTGTAGGAAGCAAAGAGTGTGGGGCTGTCACTGAGCTGAAGGAGGGAAATGGTTAGTTGAGAGAGATGGGGGAAGAATAAAATAGTCCCAGAAGCAGGGGTACTGGAACGGGGGGGAGGCAGGGGAGCCTGGCTCCAAACTTTTAAAGGTGGGGGGACTATGCCGTCCAACTCTGTACTGGCCATAAGGGCAAGGGACTGTGGGAGAGTGGAGAGGAGCAAGCGGGGGGGCGGGATCTTGGGGAGATGGGGCGGTGTGGGGTTGGGATCTTGGGGGAGGGTGGGAGCTTAGGGGGAAGGGGTGGGATGGGGCCTCAGGGGACAGCACGGGGGGTGGGGCCATAGTTTGGGAGCCTGTGGCCCCCACACTTTCAGGGGGCTTCTACCGCTCCTGCTCACAAGGATGACAAAAGATTAGCAGGCTATTGTTTTAACTACTCGGCCACTTTGTCTGGTGGGCTTGTTGTTACTTAACTGTTTCTAAGGTCTCTGCTATCTATAACCTTTCCCCTAGTTCATTGGCTGACTGAGGATGGTGGGGGGATGGTTTGGCTTTTGAAAAAAACCTTTCTCTGTGGTATTATAAAGGAGAAAGTGACAGGTAGAAAACCCCACATCATTCTTGGTGCAAGGAGCCAGGTTTGCTGTTCAAATTCTGTATTTCACCAATGTCCAGGTCTGGAAATGTCCAACACGGGCAATTCTAATGGGAAGTTGGATGCAGGGCACTTAACCTGCACAGACGTCCTATGGAGGTGGGGTGGGAATTAATAATATTTTGAGGATCTTTGGGGAAAAGAGACTTTACGGACAAGGTTTGTCTCTGTTCCTATTTCACCTTGTGTCGAGGAATCACTATTTATTTTTCTATTATATTAATTAAACTCTAAACATTATTTAATCAATCGTGAACATTAGCGTCACTTGAATTTTCCCTCTGCTACCAAGAATGAACTGAATTTTATGACTTTCTGGGAAGGGCAGAGATATTAAATTGGGGGATTTCAATTGCTGCATTTGTGGGTGGATGTTTTACGCTCACATCTCAATGCACGGACTGAAATACTAAGGTAATGTCTGTACTACAGAATTATGTCCACCGAACTTACACAGTTATTACATTGCTTGGGTGCCTGCACACTTGGCTCCTTGTGTCAGCAACGCGCATCCTCACTCATCTGTCACGAGATCCAGCTAGGTATGGGTTGTCCTGGGCTCTGTCGTGGGAGGGCACAACTGGGAGAAGGGGCAGTCTAGGGCATTTTGTGTCTGATACATAAGGGTGTTGTCAGCAGGAAGCTGTAGGTCACATGCTGGGGGTGACAGTGGGGTTTGAGCTGGAGCAGCAGCAGGGAGCAAAGTGTGTGTGGCGGGGGGTTCACTTGGTAAAAATGAAACTGCCAAGCCTCTCCCTCTGCTGGAGCGAAATCCTCTCATTTATCTCCTAAACTCCCTTCCATGAAAATCTCCACCCCTCCCCCGGCGCTGAGAGCCCCCCTCACTCCCATGTAGATTTTTAATTGTTCTAACATCTCACCTGCCCCATTGGGGAGGTGTAGCATGAGCGTACGTTCTGGGACCCGAAAGATGGTGAACTATGCCTGGGCAGGGTGAAGCCAGAGGAAACTCTGCTGGAGGTCCGTAGTGGTCCTGACACC